TTTTTTTAGACAGCCATCAATAGATGTATTAGCAGATATTTATAAAACAAATTGGTTCAGTCCGAACCAATAAACATGAAATAATTAAAAAAATATTTTTTTTTTAATGATGTATTAGCTGAACAAAAAGAAATCTTTTTTCTTCATAATATCTAAAATAATAAATTTTAAAGTTTTATTGACTATAAAATAAAATATTTTAGTCAACTATTAAATTAGTCGAGAAAAAAAAAACATTTACACCAATTTGCAAAACATTTTATCAATAAAACTTTCCAATGTCCTTCTTTTGTGTTTTTTATTGCGAACCATTTCTCATATCTCATTGAACTAATTCATCAATCCTTTCGATCATATCAGGTGTCTATGATCATATACTGTCTATGTTCATACAAATAATTGTTACCTTACTCTTTATCATTACATATCTCAACTAAAAAGATCGATTGAATGAAAACGTGTGTATGTCATTACTTTTTTTTACTTTGGTGTCCTATATCATGTATGAACATATGCTTGCGCGCGCGAGAGAGAGAGACAGAAACCAACACAAAATAGAAGATATTGCTAAAAAAAATCTTCACATAAAAATACATTTATGATGCAAGCAATACTGTCATCGATCTTCACTATCTACGATGAATGATCTAACACACATACATATATATATATATATATATAGTATGATAACTATATCTAGAATGATGCGTTTATCAGGCTTAAGAAAAATAGTAGAAAATAGAAATTGCTATTATTGACAAATATCATGCTGAGTTTTGAACCTGAACTATATTATGAGATTGATTAAATGAGGCATGAACGTAGGAAACAAAAAAGAAATTCTTTTAATTAGATTAATAGATGAAAATGAACGGTATGTTTTGTTTATATTGCAATCGATCAGCTCAATGAGAAGGTCAAAACGCTCAGTTGAAAAACAGAACGACATGAACATTTGTTTATATCAATTCTTTTGTCAATGACAATCCTCTTGCTTAAATGTGTCAATGTCAATTGTACGTTTTGTGTACCATATTACGTTATATGTTCATGAATCTCGTTATGAAAGTTAACAAATTATGTAAGATAAAAATAATTAATTCTCTTTCTATTCTCATTCGTAAATATTATTGAGATATCTTTTTTGACATTCTATGAGGCACAATGATTTTCCAATACTCATTAGATAAGTAGACAGATCGATCTAATTGCATTTTGATGAGAGACTAGTCATCGTCTCTCTATCGTTAGTCAAATAATAAAGCTAGTATGTGATAGTCTAATCCTCGAGACATGTTCTCGTTTGTTCTTTGTTGACTATCTATCAACGCACATTATCTACTCTCTTCATACATTTCTACTAGTATATGCAAATATGAACCCCCCCCCCCCCCCCCCCCCCCCGCACCCACCCACGATAAAATAAAGGGGGTGGTGGATAGGTTATGATAAGTAGAAGGAGAGCTAGCATGAGGGGAAGGGAAGA